TCAAATTTACATTAAAAATATTGTAATAATTGTAAACGTAGTTCAGTCTTTTATCTATATTTCATGCATATAATAACTTCTTATTCAGTTAAAAAAATAAAAGCCGACAATTTTGAAGGAATGGAGCGATCATTCACCATATTCCTAGTATGAAACTCCTAAGCAGTGCTCATTCACGGCCCTACCATCACGCATCGATTAAAGGATCTTTGATCTCATGAGCGATCTCTCAAATTCTAAACCAACACCACAGCGTTGTGAATTAATTGAATCTAGATACGTACACCAGAGGATGTCGTCTTGGTGTTTAGAGATTACGAGTATTAGCACGAGACGGAAGGTCCTGTATCCAATCTCCGGTCGTGGGGTCATGGATGTTCACTGCTGAATTCACATACAAGGATGATACAGCTGTCTAGTATATTCTTTTTTCAATTAAATAACAACACAGCCAACATCAAATGTCTGCTTAGATAGTGACTTGTTATGTTTAACATATGAATCGATCACATCATTTGATAGACGTTTATAGCTTCATCATTAAACATATCGCTTTTGCCTAGTATCCCTAATGTAACTGAACTTCATTAATAACCGCATCCTGATTACATAATATATGAGCAGTGTTTTGTGAATGTTTACAATCCAGTAATTAAATAGTATGTCTGTTCTTTATTTTTATTGACCGTATTTCACAACTGCTTCCAATTCTCGTTGCAATGTGTTCTTTGGCACTTTGACGCTTGCCTCGAGATGCACTAACTTGAAATCCTGAAGGTTAGCGGAAAAGAGGAAGGCCAAAGAACAAATTACGTCGGGAAATGGAATCATATATGAAAAGGATGAATAACAACTGGAAATAGCTGGAAATGATTGCACAGGATAGGGTTGAGTGGAGAATGCTGATGAGCAGCCTATGCTTCTCCACGATGAGTAACAGGCGTAAGTAAGTATGTAATGTTTATTTACCGCTGAAAATTCAAAATAATTCATTATTGTGGTTTGTGCGGCTTTACAGTCAATTATGATAAATAGTAATTTGTAATTACTAAAACTTCCAGTGTTAAAGAAATACCTATTTGAATATGAAATATACCGATTGCAGTATATAATCGATTATTTAATGAGTTAAAACGTTTTCCATCTAAGATTTACTTCCTGCCGCTACCTAGTGGTGAGACGGCCTTATTGGTCAGCCTATGTCCCTCCATGCATGTTAACAGGAGTAATTCCACAACTTCGATGTATTACAGAGCGAAATCACTGTGTAACATACATCTACGGAATGTCAAATAGACATGCTGTTTGTTTGACAGGGGTTGTTTAATGACCTTTATATTTAGGCCTCCTATAGATTTTAATGCTAATCCTGTTCTTGATCAATTATGAATTAATTAACTCTGATCCAAACAATCTTCTAACAATTTTAGCTGCAGAACAAGTCCAAAATAGGATTTCGTATAATCTCTCTACATTTACTAGGGTGTAAACAAATACTCACATCGATTATAATGTTACTGGAGCCTATTCAAATTTTTGCCTTTTAAAGTAGCAACATTCTTTTATTGTGGTTTATTCTTTCATATAATGATGACAACACTTGAGAACATGAATCAATTGAACCTAGACCACCATGGAAAACCTGGAAGCATCGGACATTCTTTCCGTCCTAACTTCAATTGACTCATGAACTCAACCATGAAAAATTACTATAATATCCACAAAACCCTTTCTGATATTAATCAACATATGCTCACTAGTGACTGGTTTCAAGAGGTATTTCCTGGAGTTCTAGTGAGAAGCAGTAACCAGTGGAGTTCATCCGGGTATGTTGTGAGGCAATATTTGAAAAAGACAATGGTGGATGTGTCGCTCAATTTCGTGGATTAGTTGAAGTGACACATCAACATCGTTGAATGACAGCCGGTTCAATAGTCTAGTGGTTAAGTGTTCAAGCACGAAACAGTCAGCTCCTCGATTCGAAACTCGCGAGACAGGATTGTGGTTCCGCATTGCTGAGGAGTCCCACAGTAAGACGAAACGGCCATCCAATGCTTCTAGGTTTTCCGTGGTGATCTAGCTTCAATCAATTGATGATCTCAACTATTACAATTACAATAATAAATTTATCATGAAAGATTAAAAAAACTGTTAACCTTTTAGTGATTCCTATTTTTCTTTTTTATTATTTCTACAACGTGAGTAAATCAAATAAATTCACTTTAAAAAAAATCAATATTTCTCTCATTATTTTTGTGTATTGTTTTCTAGTTAGATTATATATGTATGTATATACATGATTTGCTTACATCATCATTATTTCAGTAATGATGAACATGATTATAGTTTCCATGAAAAAGATTAGAAAATGTTTTGAATGTTTAATCAATCAATAAGCGATCAATAAATGATATTAATCGATAATTATGAACCTTCTTTTTTTTACCAATTTACCTGTTAAAAGTAAATATTTCTTATTCATTATTTAAGATTCAATGAATTAGTGGAATTTTTTTATAATCTACAAGACTATTTAAGACTACTTACTTACTTACTTACTTACTTACTTACTTACTTACTTACTTACTTACTTACTTACTTACTTACTTACTTACTTACTTACTTACTTACTTACTTACTTACTTACTTACTTACTTACTTACTTACTTACTTACTTACTTACTTACTTACTTACTTACTTACTTACTTACTTACTTACTTACTTACTTACTTACTTACTTACTTACTTACTTACTTACTTACTTACTTACTTACTTACTTACTTACTTACTTACTTACTTACTTACTTACTTACTTACTTACTTACTTACTTACTTACTTACTTACTTACTTACTTACTTACTTACTTACTTACTTACTTACTTACTTACTTACTTACTTACTTACTTACTTACTTACTTACTTACTTACTTACTTACTTACTTACTTACTTACTTACTTACTTACTTACTTACTTACTTACTTCAACACTTACTTACTTACTTACTTACTTACTTACTTACTTACTTACTTACTTACTTACTTACTTACTTTCTTACTTACTTACTTACTTACTTACTTACTTACTTACTTACTTACTTACTTACTTACTTACTTACTTACTTACTTACTTACTTACTTACTTACTTACTTACTTACTTACTTACTTACTTACTTACTTACTTACTTACTTACTTACTTACTTACTTACTTACTTACTTACTTACTTACTTACTTACTTACTTACTTACTTACTTACTTACTTACTTACTTACTTACTTACTTACTTACTTACTTACTTACTTACTTACTTACTTACTTACTTACTTACTTACTTACTTACTTACTTACTTACTTACTTACTTACTTACTTACTTACTTACGTCTGTTATCCCTAATCGAGGAGCATAGGTAATGTCGACTGTAAGATTACTGAAACAAAGAAACAGTAGACAAATATTTATTCATTTTTTTAGGATGCCTCATCAACGCACATTTAAGACCTAATTGGAACCCAGAAATTTGTTTATGTAGGGTACTTTTGAAATTGATAAAAATATCACACTATATATATTGCAACATATCATGTATTAATGTCAGGTGTTTTGTGGATATTGTAGTAATTTTAAATAGTTGAGATCATCAATCAACTGAAGCTAGACCCTCATGGAAAATCTGGAAGTAATGAACGGCCGTTTCATTCTACTGTGAGACTCCTCAGTAGTGCGAATCCACAACCTCGACTTGAGACATTCAAACCCAGAACTTATAAATTCTATCAGTTCTAATCACTTTCATTTTGTGTAAAATCTTTGTATAAAAGTCGATTATTTTTGTTACATAAAGCGAATCACTTTGCCGACTAACCGTTCTACTATTTTTTGTTGACATTATTTCACTAGGTCATTGTGTTAATAATCCGGCTTTCATAAGTAATCATGATATAATTTCCAACAACTGATGGCGTATCTGAAATCAAACAATCTATTCTTTGTGCTAACACACAAAGAAGGTCAGTCATAGCTTGAATAGCTCAATGAAAACGTCATATATTTTGAGGTAGGGCTATTCAGGTTCAAATCCAATACTGGAAAAAATAGTTTACTCATTTGTTGTACTAACAAATGTCAACTAGCAAGCAATCCAAGTCTTAAGTTTCTAATCAATCAATCAATCAAAGAAATATACTGAATATCTAAAATATCCACAATTCAACAACAACAAGATGATTCGAAAAGTAAACATTTGGGAGTTTCATTGAATTTCTGAAGTATAATTCAAATGTAGTAAAACATTTTGTTTTCCCATAAAACATTCATCATTATTTTCACTTGGTATTCATTACTTAGATCTTCCTATTGATGTTTACGACTACAATTGATCAGTCTCTTATTGATATATGTGTATACTATGCGTATTGCCTCAATATAGCCTTCATTCACAAGCATTATATGCAAATATGGATAATGGCTAGCAATGGAATCCAGTTTGATGCGTGTTTCATCCTATTTGGGACTCGTCAGCTGGATGTACCTACATCTCACAGTTGATGTTCCCTCTGTAGCTAAGTCGATAATGTGATACTGGATTAGAGTCCCAGAGTGAACATTAACTCTGTGATACAGGCACATCCAATATGACGAGTACTGAATAGAACGAAATGCGCATCAAACTGTATTCCACTACTATTCACTATTCATCTTTACTTATAATTCATAATGATCTCTAAACTTATCAACACATATGAAAGAAAATCAATTATCAGTGGAATGATATTGAAAAACAAAAAATAATCAATAATGTACATAAATGAAGATGTAACAACACAAATGCATATTTTTCATGTTTTTTTTGTTGTTTTCTTCATGTTCATATTAGTGGCTCTAAACAACAAGAGCAACAACAACGAGAACAACGACAACAACAAAATAGTAACACTATGAAATCATTATTAAATGTACAAGTTGTTTTCCTTTTCCTTTTTTGTTTTTTTTTGTTTTACACATTTTTTTTCTCATGATTACGTAATAGTTGAAATCTCATAGTTACATTACTGATAGAAAAATACAAAAAAATAATTACGATACAATTATGATGTTATAATTATAATGATTTATACAAAAGGATTGAATGATTTCCAAGGAAGAAATAGATGAATTTATTGGCTTCATGGGATACAAAACTAAAGTTTTTTTGTTTTTTTAAGTGAAGAAAAAGAGAAAAAAATAATTAAATCAATAGTATCAACAACAAAAAACAAACAAACAAACAGGGATCTAATATTAAATTATCAATTGACAAGGGAGAACAACAACTTGGCAACTAACTTGAACATTTGGGTTATCTATTCTTGTTACCTAAATCTTTCAATAAGTTATTTACCTTTTGTTTTTTTAATCTATCATTATATCTATTCCATATGATATTGACTATCTACGGTGTTCCTGAGAAGATAGTCAACATTATACGGATGTCATATGATGGATTAAACTGGCAAAAGAAAATGCATGCAGGACAGCTAATATAGTCATTCAATGAAAAGACCGGTGTCAGGCAAAGTTGATTACTCTCACCCTTTCTCTTTCTCCTGATGATCGACTGGATCATGAAAATGTGAACATCTCTGGAGAAGCATGGGATATAGTGGACGGCTAGGATGCAGCTGAATGATCTAGCTCTTCTATCGCAAACGCAACAACAGATGCAAGAGGAAATAACCAACAGTGTGTATCCACGACTCTGCCTCACGAGATTCAAAACCAGGACATATCAGTCTTGTGTGCTAGCGCTTAATCATTGGACCACTGGGCCGGCATCCAATGGTGTTAGTTTATTCATCAGTACTCATCATATCATTTTATTTATTTTTTTGCACCTCTATGATCGTTAACTTCATATCTCACAACATACCTTTATTTGTAGTTTATGTTGATGATGTTATGTAGGAAGATAACAATAGCTTGATAATTAAATTACTTAATGAAATTTCTAATATGAACTATAAATCTTTGTTACTAAATCATCATAATGTAACCATAGAATCGGTGATATTTCATAATATTGTACTATAGTATATTGTTACTACGTGATGTTTAATTTACACTAAAAACAAAAATGGAAGGAAAGATAGTAAATCAAAATAGTCAAATAACCTGTTATGAACTAATTTAAATATTCTCCACTTATAGGTGACTATGTATATATACACGTATGCTTGATTACAAATTCCCTCAATCTCTGTCACGCGACCTTTCGTATTATGTAAGCTCGAAATTCCACATCTTCAAACCAAATAGTGTTTACAGTAGCTGTTTTAGGTATGAGGGCAGTTGTCACTTCCTGTTTGCTCACACCGTGGAAGGGTTCACTTGAAGGTACCTTAAAAGGAAATTTGATTACAGTTGATCTTAGTGACTTGAGAGCGTGACCGCAGTGCCCAATAGACAACTACTTAAAGTCGGTCACACACGATTTTTTTGTGAGTAATTTTTGTGTTAACTCCGTACTTATTGAAACCTTATTACCGGAGACGAAAATCCGTGGAATAAGGCGAGATGTGGATTTTTAGGGTCACTCTTTTCTAACCCCACTCCTCCTTGCAGGAATTCAGCATCGCTGTTACGCTGGGTGTCTGAAGTAGACACCTTACCTGTCTGGCATAGTAGGACCTTGAGAAACGATCTTTCCTGCCGGTATAGCTCGATTGGTTTATCATGATATTCAAGCACGACTATCACATCAAGGTAGCAGCAACGATCGCGAGATGTCGGTTTGATTAAAAATGAATGCTTTATTGCACACAGACAAATTGGCCAGCAACTTAACGCAACATTTACTTAGCTTCTAAGTCATAGTTGCCACTCTAGTTCTAACATAGGTGATGTATATTCAAATAGTGATTAGAAATGTATTAAAGGAAGGATGTCTTAGCCAACATAGTACTCGATATGTAAATTCCATTACAATCCGTAACTAAAATAGCGAATGATGATAACTATAATATATTCAATGAAAATAACCATAATAATAACAAAAGGGTATTAAAAAACGTACAAACGCACACTTACCTAGAGAATGTTCCACCAACTATACAATGCCAATAAGGTTTATGTTTATGATCAAATTGTATTTTAATATATCTTGCAATTTCTTGTTCAGTATTATGTTCATCAATTGCATTTGCAGCTATATAGACAGCATCCTCTTGCATAGCACGATTCATATCAGCATCTTTAACCATGGCTACTATTTCTTTCATAATATTATTATTATGATTATTATTATTATTGACTATATGTGTATTGGATAAACTTTAATATTTTAATATTGATTTATAAGTAAATTAACAAGGGATAAATAAATGTGCTCAATCGTTAGAAACTATACAATTATATATCTATATCTATATCCATCTATCTATCTACCTATATATCTCTCTCTATATATAGCTGATTGTAATTGCTTCCCAAACAAAACAATTTGATTTACTTAGCACAATTGTGCAACAGAACTACACAATGAAGGGTGTAACCAATCATTAAATGTATATATAATGTTAACTTATTGTTAATTTAAGGAGAAAACAAAACAAAAATAGAAGAAGAAAGAAAGAAAGAACTCAACACCATATGTATACACAATTGATGTGTACAAATAAATAATGTAATTTGTTGATAGACAATAAAACAAACAAAAATGTAAACTATCTTACTAATAATATAAGCGAGTACATTCTATAGGATAAAATAAAAGTATTCATTAGAATGGTAAACAATTTGAACAATACAGATAAGGTGTGATTAATGAATATCAACTTAAAGTAATTCAGTATATAGTGAATTGTTCATTGAGCTCATTATTGATGTCGATAGTTATTCAGGAATGAAACACTTTGATTTGCTTTAGTATATACTTATATAATGGTATACAATGTATGTGACGAAATCTCAGCACGGATAGAGAAGGCTCGACTAGCTTTTGCTAACTTGCGTCATTTATGACGTAGGCAAGATATTTGTCTACCAACGAAAGAATGGGTTTACTGCGTAGCAATTCTTTCTGTCCTACTTTGTAGCAATGAAACATGACCGGTAAGAGTAGAGGATATTCGTAGGTTACTAGTATTCGACCATATGTGTCTTCAAAGCATTGCTCGTATATCTTGAGATAACAAATCAACTAATGAAGTAGTGAAACTTCATCAGTTCAGATAGCTTGGACACGTGTTACGTATGCCCAGGCACCAACTGCAACGACGTGCGATGTTTTGTGGTGTAGGAATACACTGGAAGAAAACTAGGGGCGGTCAGATCAAGATATGGCACAAATCCATGAAGTCACTGACAAGTGGACTGTGTGAGCCATGTTGGTAGGTGTAGACTACCTGGTTGAGATCCGCGGGACGATAGCAATCGATGGTTAGAGACCTTGAATGACATGGCTCAAACACATTACACTGACGATTGGAATCAGACATGGAAAGAATGAATAGGAACTGGAAACATGTGGAAGGGATTGGTCAAAATATAGTTGTTTGGAGAATGCTGGTTTACGACCTATGCTTCACCACAAGAATTAACAAGCGTAAGTGATAAGGGATCCAAATGACTTTCAACAAACTACATTTATTGAACATAGTCGTTAAGTCGAAATGAATACCTGAAAATCAGTTTATCATAATTAAATTGTCTCATATATTACATAATATTCCAATTCATTTTTTGTATGTTGCTTTATTCATCTTGATTATTTGTCATATAATAAAGAAATCTCGGCGAGACTATAATTTATGGACGAACCAATCAGATATAAGATTACAGGTCACAAATTTTGATGGAGTTTTGTTCTCTGACTAAACCATCCATTTCAGAGAACAAAACTCCATCCAAATCATCCACTTGAGCTACAAATCTTCTCTATCAGGTCTCGGATGTTGTTGCGAAATTCACTCATCCATTTGATTAAATAGAGAAACTAATGTCAGTTCGTGATACAAACTCTAAATCGAATTCCTCACACTCTTTTATAACTCTCATTTGGTAGGTGGACATTCTCAAAATCACTTTACCATCACTTAATGGTCGTCCATAAATGATAGTCTCATTGAAATCTCTAGTCACTTAATCCATTTGTTATTAATTAAATAAAACAGGATTTATATTAAAAACATGAATATACTACTTACTGTCTACTCAAATCTAATAGAATAATCTTGAAAAAAATCACTTTATTTAATTTTTTTTTCTATGAAAGTATTCTATCATTACATAGAACTATTTATATATCATCATACTGTAAATGTATTTAATCTATCAAACACGTAATCATAATTAGTATCTATTCTGGTATATCATTATTCGTTTGTTCACATAGTAATTAGTTAACACCTCTTCAACATTGTTATGTAATAAACATAGAAGATTAAATTTCTTCTTTTTTTTCAATATTGTAAATTTGCATTATTGATCATTGTGATTAATTTCATATGGTGATGATGATGATGATATTTTTCTTTCTTTTTTCTCTCTTTTTTTTGCTTTTGCTTACTAATTTTAGAAAATCTTTCAATCAAATAAATGACATGGTTACTAGAATCAAGTGAATAGGAGTAAGTAAAAAGAATAAACGTATATTGATTTTGTATCATATAAGGGGTTTTGTGGAGATTGTAATAATTTCAATAGTTGAGATCATGAGTCAATTGAAGTTAGATTATCATGGAAAATCTGAAGCAATGGACGACTTTTTCGTCTGTAGCGTGACGTCGAGTCGCGGTTGACTATGATCACCACTACAAGGAGACTACGTGCCAGTTAACTGATAAAATCCCCCATAGACCAAATATCAGATAGCAGTTGATGGCTGTAGTCGAGATGTATTTGTTGGCAATCTCGTGGTATCGAAAGAATACCGAGATCGTGCCAAATGAGGACAAGTGTGGTTACTGAGCGTAACCGAAGTCGTGCAAGGTCACAATCAAAGGTAAGAAGAATGTATGTATTTTGGTAAAGTTAAACAAACAAGTACAGTAAAACAATCACTGGTACAGTTGGTTATAATAATTGTTTCCGTTAAACCAATCGCGTTCTCTTGATAAAAGTAGGTCACTACACGTTGTCTTGTGGGACTCTTCAACAGTGCATATCTACGACTATGCCTTACGAGATTCGAATCCAGGATCTATTGATTTAATTGAAAAAAAGTTTTGTTTTTACATGCAAATCAATAATCTAATCCCTAATGCTGAAAACAAACTTTAATTCAATTGGAATAAAATATTTTTCTTAGAGAATTTGAAAGTTTATTTTACGTAATGTTTGGAAAGTGGAACGCTGAATTGTGAAACTAAATAATTTGGGGGAGATTTTGAACTCTTCCCGGATGCAATGAAAGTTTAATCTTAATATCTGTAGTATAGAAAGATATCGTCAGTTGTTAGTCTAATCATGGTGCTTTCGAAATGGACAATGGAACAGTGAATTAGAAGTGGGTTGATTAGTGTTTTCATTAATACAAAATCAGTTTACCTACGAAATTCATCATTTAGCTTCAACTGGATGTCCAAACAACATCAAAGAAGTAACTTCTTTGGATGATGCCTTAGAAAATCGACATCATGTCTGATGCTTTTAATGTGTCCACATCGGATGAAGGTTTTTACGTGTTTTTTAGACAGGACAATAATGAGATAGCATTTTTTGGTCACGCTGATATCAGATTTTATAACTGAAAATTTAAATAAGTGGATTGTAATGAGTTTGTTGTGCTGATCCTTCACTGGTTGCAGACGTTCTGTTGTGGTGTGTGCTAGTGATGTCGATAGATATAAGTAGTATGTATCATCAGTCGAAAGTGAAATGTCTGGCGGCAGAAGGTTAAGACGGTCGAAAGAAAAAGGACGAGAACAGGAAATGATTGGTGTGGAAACGAAGGAATAATGAAATCTGAAACGATTGTTTGATATTTTGCAAATGAAGTATTTACTGCATTATTCTCAGATTTTATTAAAATGATCTGTAATTTTATGTACAAGTACACTTAGTTGTCCCCAGTTGTGTTCTCGTTCAATACACTGTCAGTCATTTAGCAGTATGAAATATGTGAGGTGAAGAGAAGCAATTTTCTTGTGTAGTTCAAAGAGGTGATATAGCCGGGCGATAAAAGACCAATATGGTTTAATGCATTCGTAAATGTCTAGACTAATGACTGATTCATCTTTTATACTCCTCAAGAATTTTGTTAACTTATAAACAGTTTGTTGTGAAGCATTTTGAGAATGTTTTCCCGAAAGATTTTATTGGTATCCGACAGAACGTTAGATGCTTTGGTAATATAGTACTTATAGCAACTCACGTGCAATTGAGTTTGTTCTCATTTAACTCAGTTAAACGCTTTTGTTAACTTATTTAGCGGACAAAGTCATCCGCACTATAACAACTTATTGCACCTTTATTATTGTTGTGCTCGTATGAAATATGTATGCTTGAACATTGCTTACCGCCTACACATATATTCATTCTGCTAGCTTTATTATAAGCTGCTTAATTGATTCGATGATCCATTCATTTCCCTATATAGATACATGTATATTTTACACTCTACACTCTCGGTTCGCTGACTCATTCATTTGCCTCTCTGCCATGTGATCTGAGTTATCTGCTAATAAAACTGTAGTCTCTGCTTCTCTTTGCCTTCTGATTTCAAACACCGTTGAGGATTATATGATGACGGTTACGAGGGTGATTGGTCAACAAAACACAGCCACTACATACTTATGACTGAGTTGTGGGCAGTGAGTTATTAGAGACGTATTTCTCGGACATTTTCAAGAAAAGATGTATTCTTTTGTTGATTTAAAGTTTCTCATCAACCTCATACTTCATGTCTTGTAAACGCTTCTTTAAAACTGCGTCTACGCACATGTCAAATCTGTCCCAATCATAATCAATTGGTTTTAAAAGCGTTTATAAAACAGTCTATTCCTCCACTTATAGGTTGATTATCAAAAGATCGTGTTAATGACCCATAACTCCTGTAGATAAACCGTATAGAAAGTGAGCCAGATACATAAGGATGGATTAATATATTTGTTGGTGTTAACTTTAAACTGACTGAGACTGTGACGGCAATGAACTCTTCAATATACCGTAAGATATTTATCTTAAAAAAATGAGAAATTTATCAAGTATTCACACACCAGAACGTTACATTCGTGTTTATTCCTACACAGCTTCCAGTGATCCTTCAAAGATATCATTATGTTTTCTAGACTTTTATAATTTCCATTCTATATTTTTTCAATTAGTGCACAATATATACTTTCAGTTTAATAATGAGGTATGCATCCTGTCTAAACGTGAACGAGATTTTGAAAATGGATATAAGTAAACTTCATTGGGAACTATTCTTTGTTTCCGGTATATAAAGTGACGTATTTTGACTAACTAACACCACGTTGCGATGATCTATGAAGCAAATAATTTGTGTTGATTTAACTAATACTGCAAGTGTATGTTTAGAATCCATAAAATAAGCAAAACATAAGTTATTAATTTCCGACTTGTTTATCATATATTTTACCTTAAATCTCTTACTTGGTTCATTTTCCTTCTTTAGTATGAATGTCCAGAAGCTACATGGATCTTATTAGATCACACAACACAGAACCAGGTCGATTATATATGCATCACTAAAAAAACTCGGAAGGTCGATGGAAGACATGAGAACGAAGATAGGAACTGGCATAGCTTCAGATCACCATCCGGTTGTGACTAAGATAGAACAGAAGCTAAAGAAACACTGGACAACTAGAGAAACAACAGTACAAAGGTTTGGTACAGCTTATCTTCGAAATACTGATAAACATAACGAATCCTAGATAGGTCTCAGCAGTAGGTTTCAAGCCTTACAAGATCTACTCAAAGTAGAAGAAATTACTATGGAGGACAACTGAGAAGGAATCAAAGAAACTCTAACTTCAACGTATCAGGAGGTGCTGGGTCTCAAGAAGCATCGTCATAAGGAATGGATCATAATAGAAATACTGGACAAGATTCAAGAAAAGAAGAAGAAGACAGCAATTAACAACAGCCAAGCAACAAAGAGAGAAAGTCCAGGCACAAGCTGAATACACAGAAGTAAACGACCGGAAGGTCAAGCCAAGAACAAAGAAGGCAAGAAAATCACCGAGATTCAAGAACAGGAGAACTGAATTCGGCGCAGATCGAAGCAGCACACACAGACTTTTCTATGGAGGTAGTGACTAATTAACAAAGCATAATTCAAGGATGATAAAACGTATAATAATGGTTCGTAAGTCAAAATAAAGCTTATAATAAAAGGAATATAAATAGTTTAGTTATTTAACAATTATACAATAAGAATATACGTTAAGTATTAGTCCATGAATGGATACCAAATTTACCATTCATTATGCTTATCGTGACCTAACAAATACGAAGACCTTGACATCTAAAGGGAAGCACGGAATAAAATGGACTGCTTGGATACAAGTAGACTACTTGAACTTCTCAGACGAACAGCTCTTCTCTCCCATACACACCAATAAATGCAGGTCAAGGTAACCAATGTAACAGAATGCTGTGAAGTAGTAAGCCTCGATATACCAAGGAAAGAGCAAGATCCTTAAATACAACATGAAGAACATAAACACAATCACATATGACTGAGAAAATCTAGAATATGTGGAAACCTTAATATACCTGATAAGCGTTGTAGCGACCCACTTTTATCAAGAGAACGCGACTGGTTTAATGGAAACAATCACTATTATAACCGATTATGCCAGTGGTTGTTTTACTGTGCTCGTTTGTCTAACTGTGCTAAAGACAGCAATATTACTGCTCCATTATCCTTCCATTGAACGTGACCTTGCACGAGTTCGGTTACGCTCGGTAACCACGCTTGTACTCCTTTGGCACGATCTCGGTATCTGTGGTGTTTGAATGGACTAATGATACCTTTGTACTGGTTGAATGCCTGATTTCAAATTCTAAATACAATACATTCGTTGGTGCCTGTGTCTTCTTAATTCAATTGCGTTAATCCTGGAATTCCTAGTTCATACGATAATTTGAATACTATATTGGCGTCGCGATGGAACCTGCAATGGAAAAGTTGGATATTCATTCAACTCCTGAAGCTATTGAGGATTATTTGGAAAGGTTCGAAATTTGGAGCATGACCAAGAAAGACGTTAAAGGTGAAAAAATTCTGGCACATTTTCTGACATTCATTGGGAGAGAAGCGTACAGCTTATTAAAAACTTTGGCATATCCAGAAAAACCTATCTCACTCCCTTATGCAACTCTTAAAGAGCTATTGTTAAGTCATGTAAAATGCACCAGTTTTGAATGCCGTGAAAGGGCGAAGTTTCATAAGATGGTTCGTCAAAATGACCAAAAGGTTCGGGAATTCATCCTTGAATTACAGAAACAAGCTGCCAAGTGTAATTTCGGTGATCAACTTCATGTGCAACTGAGAGATCGATTAATTGCAGGAATTAACATACCGAGTTTGGAAAGAGAGCTGTTAAGAATGCCAAACTGTTCCTTTCAAGATGCTAGAACTGCATGTATTAACTACGAAGCAGTCAATGAACTTGATATCCAGTCGATGAAGATTTCTAATACTTTGCTTAGTCGTCGTGATGAACTACAATCTCAGGGTCAATCAAACTTGCGTTCATTTAACAGTGATTCCTATTCTCGTGTAAATATGAAAGGTGTTTCAACGAGGAATTACAAAGCAAATCACAAAGGTGAGATGAAGTTTGGTAAATGTTTATCATGTGGAAAGTTTCATGCTCGCAATTCATGTGTATTTCGTAATGCTAAATGTTTTAAATGTGGTAAGGTAGGACACATTCAGTCAGTATGCAAAGCTACTGTCCATTTTGCTTCGAGCTGTACTAAATCTTGTAATTTAAATTTCAATAATTCGGATGTTTCTAGTGATCATTTGTCTTTGTCCACTATTTCGAAAGGTAATGCTCATATTCAGAAGCGACTATATACATCGCTTGGTTCATTTCATGACTTTATTCTGGACACAGGCAGTATAGAGTCCATTATTTCATTCAAGAACTTGAAAGCTTTAGATCCTAACGTTGTTGTACGACCCACTGAAGTATCAATACTGGGGATTACTGGACACAGACTGCCCATACGAGGATGTTGTGAATTGCTAATCAGAGATGATAATTCTTCATACATACCTTGTGAATTTTTAGTTAGCGAAACAGGACTGTCAATATTGGGTTTAAAGAATTTGAAAAGGCTTAAGGTGGAGTTGTCCTTCTTAGTTTCTAAAGAAAATTCTGATACTTTACTTAAAGATTTGATAGCTATGTGTGCTAAGTGCAGTGGAGGTATGAAAATTAAGCCTATAAAACTTCAAGTACAGGGTGATCCCGTCTTTCTTAAAAGACGAATAATTCCTTATGGTCTTCGAGAAGCAGTACATAAGACATTAAACGATTTGTGTGTGAAAGGCATAATTGAACCAATTCAGTCTTCAGCATGGGGTACTCCTATCGTTACGCCACTGAAGTCGGACGGCAAGACCCCTAGAATTTGTGGTGACTATAGATTAACTCTGAATTCCCGTTTGTTGAAGCAAACGTGCACGACGGTAGAAGCTGAAGATATTCTAAATCGACTTCATGGTTCTAAAGTGTTCTCGAAAGTTGACCTAAAAGATGCTTATCTTCAAATTCCTTTAGATGAATCTTCATCTATTTTGACGACAATTAACACTCCTTTTGGTCTGTTCAAATACAATTTCCTTCCATTTGGTCTAAGTTGTTCTCCAGCCATATTTCAGGAAGTTATGAATAAAGTAGTTAGTGATCTTGAAGGTGTTGAAGTTTATCAAGATGATCTCATTGTTCATGGCTCTAATAAGGTAGTTCATGACCAGAGACTTATTGCTTTATTGCGTCGTTTAATTGAGAAGAATATTACAGTGAATCCAAATAAGTGTTCATTTTGTGTATCTAGTTTTGAATGCCTTGGATACCTAGTTGATGGTAATGGTTTTAGACCAGATATGAAACGACTAGCTCCACTGACTAATGCACCGTCTCCGAAAAATCTTACAGAATTACGTTCACTAGTGGGTGCTCTTCAATACTATTCCCGTTTTATTCCTAATTTTTCTTGTCGTGCAAATTGTTTATTTAATATTTTAACATCCAATTCATTCAAATGGAGTGAGGAACAAGAGTCATGCTTACGAAGTCTGCTGAAGTTTCTTCAAAGTGATGCTGTTCTTCGAACGTACTCCCCTAATGTACATTCTGTGCTTATTACTGATGCATCACCTGTGGGAATTGGTGCAGTTTTGGAACAGGAAGGTAGACCAGTTATTTGTGTTTCACGCAAACTTACTGTTACTGAACAAGGTTATTCACAGACTCAGCGAGAAGCATTAGCTGTGTTTTGGGCTGTTAAAAGACTTCATAAATATTTATTCGGAAAGAAATTCACTATTGTTACTGATCATGAAGCTTTAAAGTTTATTTATCATCCCGAAAAATCCTTAGCACGTTCCTCAGCAGCTATGGTTCAGCGATGGAGTATTGCTTTGAGTGCATATGACTATACGGTTCAGCACAGAAGTGCCAAACAGATTCAACATGTTGATTACATTTCTCGACAGTCATTACAAGATAAACCTATTAATACTTCGGATTGTTTGTTAGTGCAACCTTTACCAGTGAGACGTTCAGATCTCATTAGAGAAACTCGTAGATATTTTGGATGTATACTCAGTGCTATAAGGAAAGGTTGGAATGCTAATTTGAAACGGAGATTTCCTATCTATTTTTCAAAGCGGGATGAGTTATCTACTACTCCTGATGGTATTCTGTGTTTAAATGATCGTGTTGTCATTCCTCCTTCATTGCGTAAATCTGTTCTTGAAGATCTTCATAGTGGTCATTTAGGTGTTGAGAAAATGAAGTCCTTGGCAAGGCTCACATGCTGGTGGCCAGAGATAAATGCAGATATATGTCGTACGGCAAACAATTGTGAGAAATGTCATCAGTTGAAAAATCATCCTTCGAAGTGGGTGCCATGGCCAGTATCGTCTGAGGCCTGGCAGAGGATTCATGCTGACTATTGTGGACCATTTCTTGGTAAATACTACGCACTAGTAGTCATTGATTCTTTTTCCAAGTGGCCTGAAGTTTTTTTCACAACTTCACCAAATTCTGATTTCACAATACAAGCATTAAGAAAGGTGTTTAGTCGAGAAGGTGTTCCCTTGGTGTTGGTGACTGATAATGGCTCACATTTTGCTGCAGATGCAGTCACTACCTGGTTGAACGGTATAGGGTGCAAACATCTATTTACTGCTCCCAGACATCCGTGTTCTAATGGTCAGGCAGAGAATTTTGTTAGGACATTAAAGACTGCTATTGATTCTATAGCCCCCTCAACATTTAATGAGCTGGAGAGGGGAGTAGATACCTTTCTATTGCAATATAGAAATGCCAAACATTCTGTGACAAAAGAGACTCCAGCGAAGCTATTGAAAGGAAGAATTCT